CTGCTAATCGGCGCTAATAAGTAGTCGGCCGATAGTCAAATCGTGAGCGACGCTGAGCGGAGCCTTTACACGCACTCTATACTACTTGCGATCCAGCAGTACTTACTGCAAAACCCGTGATATTCGTGGTGCTTTTTGGAAACGCAAACGGCCTATTCAATAACACATGTCATTATTCGGCGGATCCGCCATTAATGTTTATTGTTCCCTGTACTGCCCTCTCGCGCAGTGTGTACGTAAGTATTTGGACAGTCGACACACCCCCTTCTTAGGCCGCTGCTTTGATTCATTTATATATGCAACTGTTATTTTGATTTTAATACAAATCTGCAATCTATATACGCTGAATTTATATATTTTTATTTTGTTCTTAACCAAGAAGTTTTATTTGCCTACACTGCACATGCAGGCCCGAGCCAGCTTTCTATTGGGGGGGGTTCGTTTTTCAATGTTGGCATTTGCTCGCATGGGCGTGTACAGGATGTGTCACGCAGGGGGGTCTAACGCTGTACCTCATAGGTTGCGAGCACGCGAAGGGGGGTCTGCGGGGGGCCTCCCCCAGATTTGTTGTAAAATTACACCCCCTCAGACTGCGTTTTCTGGCGCGAGCAAGGGGTCCTGGACTCCCTGGACCCCCCGCTTAACACGCCCCTGCTCCCGGGCGCGAGAGCGACAAGGCGAGGGAGCCAAGCGACCGAGCGGGCTGGAAGGGTGGGAGGGTGGTGTTCACGTGTCACCCTCCTGCACGATGGAGATTTTCAATTATTACACTAAAATGGAGCGACCTGATGGTGAATTCTTGCAAATTTTCAAAAAAAAAAAATTTTCGGCGTTGGGGCTCGGGCTCGGGGGGGGTTCGTTCGAACCCCCCGAACCCCCCTGGCTACGGGCCTGCACATGTGCCGCTAGCGCCACCCAGGGGGTAGGGGGGGGCACTCGCCATTACCCCGTACTGGAAAGAGAAACTGGCGACGTCGCTGGACAGGCTATATTTCCAACATCTTATTGGCACAGGTTATCTAATATCACACCTCATCAAGCCGAATTGGGCTAAACGCTCTTATGAGTGTTTCCCAAGCTTTGATATCATTAATGATTAATGATTAATGATTGATAATCCTAACCTAATGGAGTATCAACCAAGATCGAAGCCAGATAACAGAAGTCGGAGGTACCTTAATTTTCTATAAAACACACACACACACACACATGCGCGCGCGCACACACACACAGACACACCGCACACGACAAATCACACACAGCACACACGACATGCACACACACACACACACATGCATGCATGACCTCGTTCACCTGCACGCAGATATCTTTACGCACGCACACGTACGTCTTTCTAATTGACTAATTGCTAAATATGACAAACGAAGGAAGCACTTTACTTTCGTATATGCTTTAGGTGTAGTTTACACTAATTATACACCATAAAATAATATATTTGAGAGCACGTATACGTTGAACTTGTTTATTTGAATATTGTGAAAACACCCACGCACACGTCACGCCACCAACAAGGGCGTGTACTATACAATTGTCTGTGCGCCCGCCCCCAGGTGAGCCCCACCTGAAATTCATGCTTGATAAAAAAAATTGAATTTAAAAAGGCAATTGCCGTTAAGAAGCAGTATAATTACAAAGAAAAGTTATTATATGTGCGCACCCCCCACCCCCACGAAAATGTAAGCCCCGAGTCATCGCGCCTGGAAAAATGCTGCCTACGCCACTCAACAGCATCGGCCGCTCCCGCACGCGCGCACACACTACGCGCGCATATATACTATATATAGTTGCTATCTTATTTCATGTCTTTAGAACTGATTAATGACAAAACCTCCATCACCCCTTTAATAATAAAATCCTACATACAACAACAAAAATCACAGCTGGATATAAAACAATACCCAATTTTTATTGGTCTTCATCTGTAATGCATGGACACTGAATCTATTTCTCGTGACAATTTTACATATTTACATCACAGATCCCACAGCTGCTTATTTGCATCACTGATCTCACAGCTTATTTGACAGCATTAATTAAATCTCAGAAAAGGACTGCAACGAACATGGAATTAACCTGTAGATTCCATCTTGATGTGTCTAACCAGCTGCTGCTTATATTGCTTTCGTATACCTTGCCAACCAGATAAACGAAAATACCGCCAAAATGCTTTTTCAGAAACTGTATATAATGCCAACAAGAAACAATACATTCTTCATTGTTACACCTTCTATCAAACGAGGACTTCCAAAACATCTGATTCCAGTTTGTCTGGGCACGTACTGTGCATACAATAACCTGCCAGCCTTACTACTCTTCCCAGTCTTCCGCACTGAAACAGCTCGATACCACACAGGAACAGAGGTGCACCCACAGAAATAAATAGAGACGCTAGTCTAACAAGGATATTATTTTTATGGGTGCACCATACTAGTGGCGCTACCTGTGTGGAGAATAACAAAGTAAATCACCAGCAAGGACTCGACTGTTCGCGGTAGCGACTGATTTTGATCATCTAACTGTAAAGTCGAGCATGGTGATCGACTGATCAAGAGCGACGTAGCAGCAGCTGAGTTCGGCTACCAGCGAGTATACAGGGCTGTTGCATCCACTTACGTAGTACATCTGTCAAACGTAACCGTAGAGCTACAGTTAATCCTGTGTTAGCATCCATGTCTATAGAACAAACATCTGTCTATAAAAGATTCCCAACGACATTTCCATTGAATGGCAGTTAAACAGTGAATTCGAAGCCAACTCTATAAAACAGACACCTGTAAATTCTTTTGGTATTTCCTATGAGTGAAAGTCCTACAGATCTGTGACTGTATATCTCATGTCACACATCCAAATTCTCATCGATTAGAACTGTCAAACAACTGAATTTTTCTGTAATATGCAGTGAGAAACTAAATACATGTGCTGCCTACTCACAATGTCAATACACAATGTCATATCTAACTTACTCGAAACAGATTTTTTGTCCCAAGATCTACTATGATTATCACTACAACACCCCTCACTTATTACCAACAAATTAAAATATTATTCAACATTCTTCATCAGAACGGTTCTTCAACAGTGTTCAATATGAAGATTCTTTAATTTGACATTTCTCTAACTTTGTAGTTGCTGTCCTCATTTTAATAAAATCTCTCTGAAACTGAGCTACGGATAAAGCTAGAGAGACGTGTATACCTGCACTGAGTGGCCAGACCGTTGATCCCAGAGCCTGACCAGAGCATGCCTGGCAGTGCCACTCACTATACCGTAGTTGTGGTCGGTGGAGATGCAGTACACGGTGCTATCGTGAGGATCTCCAAGCTTCAACACACTGTAGAATGCCAAGTAAACACAATCACCTACTACACAAGAAATAGTGCGTAGACTCGCTACGAAAAAGCAAATGCTGCTGCAAATGCTGAATATCAAGACAATCATTCTCAATTCTATAGAAATATGCTCTTGGATGCTTTAATTTTAGATAAAAAACACTTTAAATTAAAAACTATAAATTATAACCATAACAAATGGCAGGCACCAAGCAGACCTATTGCTTTTAGACTATATATAGGAACATTTCACATACAGGCACAGTACAAAGACACTCTATCCCTAACACTAACACTAACAAGGCACACAAACAATGTTAACAAAAGAATTGATCGTTACCGGAAAAAATACTTGCAGAGAAAATTCATTACTAATAGTATCAGGAGTCTATCAATATTGATATAGTCTATAATATTGATAGTATTATAAACAATTTTACTTATTACTCAATTTTATTAATTAATGTAACAACGATTATTTTTTAAATTTTGCTGGAAAACTTCTTCCCGAAATGTGAGAGCGTGATAAACTACTGCTCACCAGGCATTGGTGCGAGTATCGAAGACACAGACGCAAGAGTCGTAGCCGCACGAGACGATCGTACGTGGCTCGTCGTAGACGATGTCAAGCACGCCGGCACCACGCCTGTATCCCGGTGCTACACCCAGCGATGCCAGCAAGCTGCCACTGAACACAGACACCAGGTTAGACACATGTATAATATCATATAATATGTTATAATGGTGACTTACGCTGTCTCCGCACAGTGCGGATCCATCGCACTACCTAGAGTAGGTTTAATGAGCTTTTTACTCAATGCCATTCAGCTGTAAGCTTAGTGGTGACTGTAACATTAGCGTAGGCGAAACAAAGGAACACATCGCCAGCTGCTAGCATGACGAACACAAGTAGGGACGGGATGCGAGCACGGTGGAACACGTAGATAACCACGAAGAGAACTAGACAGAGGGCACTCACGGAGAGTGCATACCTCCGCCAGCATGTAACATGTATGTGCTCGCTGGTGGCAGCTGCTGACTGACTCGCCTGCTGCTGCCTCGCCGCTCACTGGTGGCTGCTGCTGACTCGGCACTCGCTGACTCGACGCGCTATCGATCGCGCCGCCGGCTCGCTGACTCTAGTTTCAGTTTTAGTTGCAGTTTCTAGTAGTTCTAGCTTGTAGTAGTAGAATCGCTGAAATATTGATTGTTGCGCGCAAGCGAGCGAGCTGCTGCTGACTCGACGCCCTAAGGCGAGCTGGTGCTGAATCGATCGCGCCAACGCGTGTAACATGTATACATGTGTATAACAGCTGGCTCGCTGCTGGCTACATACACACACGAACGCATCACACGAGAGGGATCACATTACCTCCCTGCAACTCCGTTGCGCGGAGGTAACAACACTTGCATGTAGATATTAACAGCTGGAGGGATTTGGATTTCATCCATAAAACACCTAAGTTACTTACGATTCTACATCCCACACCTGCAGTGGTGCCGTATTGATTCCTGCTGTGCCACATGCAAAGGTCCTGTAATTAAACAGAACAGAAAAAGGAGTTGATCACACGAGTACATAAACGACGTTTATGCTACATTTCCCAAGTATTGCTCTCGATTCAGTTAATCTACTCGTGCTATACTCATACTGTAGCGAGCATGTATACATCATACCAGATTGCACATTTAAAGAAATCGACAGCAATATTAATTTGTTGCAATCACCTCGCTTTGGAATTGCCTGCAATACTCCAAACGCGATCCTCCAGTGTGAATGTTCGTTGGAGACGTCCAGACACCAATGACCACAGCTACAACAGAACAATGACCACAGCTACAACAGAACAATGACCACAGCTACAACAGAGCAACGACCACAGCTACAACAGAACAATGACCACAGCTACAACAGAGCAACGACCACAGCTACAACAGAACAATGACCACAGCTACAACAGAGCAATGACCACAGCTACAACAGAGCAATGACCACGGCTACAACAGAGCAATGACCACGGCTACAACAGAGCAATGACCACAGCTACAACAGAGCAACGACAACAATTCACATCATACTAAATCGATGTTTTCCCATTTATCATGTTTTTTTTCTTCTAAAGTTCACACTATATGATACATATGTTGCAGTGACAAGAACATATAATTTGGCTACAAAACAATAAATTACATGAATCACACACATGCTCATTATCATACTTTACATTCTTAATTTACATAATGACAACTCTTGAACTCTAATGGTTGATGGCCTGACGACACATCACATAGAAACAACATGGCCTAGATTTGAATTACGATAGGTGCAACCCAAGCTAAAACGTGTACAAAATGACTTACAGCTACAGGGGTAGAAATTAACTTTTGAACAAGGAAGTCCAGCGGACTCCCTACCCTCAAAAAGAGGGAGTCCGCAGCAAAATGAGGGAGTCCGCAGTATGAGGTTCAAAATTTAAGATATTAACAATAACGCATGTGCTTATTTTTAAGATTCATGCAGTTGCACGTCTGCCAAAATTTTCTTTGGACATTAGCTGAAAAAATACAGTAATTCCGCGAGGCCGTGCTCCGGAATGAACTAGTTAGTATAGGAGAATTTTCAGGTAGTCACACGGACTCCTGCATATGTCAAATCAGGAAGTCCGACAGTAAATCAGTGAGTATTTGACTCCGGACTCCCGTTAATTTCGTACCCTGCAGCTATAAACAATTTCTTTTCTCACACTTCATGAACACTAATTAACAATCTGATCATGCACCACAATGCTCCCGACGTGCAACCAAACTAACATTGACTCGGTTCTCCAACTACGTTAGAGTTTAGTATTACCTTCACAGTGGAGTCTCGTGAGCCTGATACAATAACGTCACTGCTGAATCCCACACAGTTGACACTGCTGTCATGGCTGTTGGTCACGCGCAGAATTCGTCTTCCACTGTCACTCTTCCAAACACATAAGCTTTTATCACTGTGGAACGACAAGTCGGATTTTGCCTCAGGTAGAACGGTCATGGATATCAATAGTACAAGTTCTTTTTCAAGGCGACAACATTCACTTCACAAATTCATTATTTATCTGCGCTTTACTGTGATTTATTACAAGTTAGTTCCATTAGTTATAGATGAAAACCATTAAATGTTCATAGTCTAAGACTCTAAGTGATCTTTATGTTGGATTACATCAAACAATATAAGATTATAAAGCTACTTGAACTCGCAGTAAGACTTCCAAATAAATCTCCAAATCTCCAATATTGTGACAATATATCAAATTGTACTCGAAAATTCAAGGTCATGAGCATTTCTGGAAAAATGACATCACCAGCTATATTTTTACTAATTTATTGGTTGCCACCCATTATGTTCTGCCGGTTTAGTCAATTTGGTAGCCCTCTGTGTGCGTGTTAGCGTGGCAACATACCTGCCACCACTTATGATGTACGAGTCAGCGTAGATGAAACGACAAACATCATCATGATGCCCCTGCAGCACCATCAGCGGGCGCTTAACAATGCAGCCATCAGGACGTCTCTCAGTGCAATGGATTGTCGATCCACTACTGTACCAAAGGCGGTCATATGTCGCTTGTAACCACGGCAACTGCCTGTGAACAAATTAACAGAATTCGTCCAGAGAAATCATGTACTAGCGACGTAAACATGGAAGCAGATTACATTTATATCAGGAGTACATAATAGGGAGGAGTGTGACAACAATAAACAAGGGAAATTCGTCATTTACTAGCCTTATAATACCTACGATTTACTACGCGTAAACATGCCACACGGTACATGCACACAGAGCGTAACGCACGCGCAGGCATTCAGCCACC